AATGTGTATGAGCTGTTGTGTGGTGAATTAATTTGCTCTGTAACCTTTCACCCAAATCACAATTAAAAAAAAGAAAAGAAAGAAAGATGGAATATATAGAATCACTGTCACCTTTAGCATCTATAAAGCCCATTGCTATCATGTTGGTTCCAACACATAGGTTGATATAATTGTTTTAATTTTTTGTGAGTTTCTTATGTATCAATTTGTAATTAATTCCATAAAACAAAAGTAACCCATATCTTTATTTTTTTTTAATCATGACTCACTTATGAATATTCCATATGACAACACCCTTAAGTATCTTAAAAGTCCTACCTATTGTTTGTTTAACTTAGAAGATTTGTGAGACTTGCCCTTAAGATACTTAGAAGTTTGATTAAGCATGTTGTTGTTGTTAGGTGCCATGTAGTCCACTCTGACTCATAGCAACCCCATGTACAACAAAACAAAACATGGCCCTGTCCTGTGCCAACCTTTATTAAGCATAGTTTTCAGTATGTTTGATTTCTAACAAAAGATATTATAGCCAGGTTCTTGAGATCTTTACCCTGAGGCAATAGATTGCTGATAGTGCCTTAGATTTTATCTTTTCCTGGTGGCCATTTACTAATTTGATAATTTTTGTTGGGGAAGTCTGGGGATGAGAGGAATGACTTTTTTTTTTTTTTTCCAAATTCAGCAAGTACTGTATATTTTATATTTCCCTTAAATTCTGAAAAAATATTTTATTACCTTCTCATGTTTGTATTTTTTCTCATGTTTTATTATAGGCTGGAGCATTATATAATCTTTCTAGAAATCTTCCCAGGAAAACTCATGAGTGTATTAACTATCCAGTCTCTTTTCCATGCTATGACGTGACAGTGCTGACAAATTTCCTAATGATGCATAATAACTGTCCTCTTACAACCAAATGCTAATAGTATTTTTCTCTTTGTCCTTCAATTCCTTACCAACAGTCTCTTCAAGGCCCTTCAAGATCTCAGTAACAGACTCCTTGAGACCCTTACAGGTTCTTCCTACCACCAAACCCAAAATCAGATTTAAAAATTGAGTACATGTTTATCAAACTCACATTTTATTTCAGGAATAAACATGTTTCATGTGTATCCAAAAAATGTATGCTACATTTGCCATTTTAACATCCTGCCTTCCATTCTTAATGTCTTTCTCCCACTCTTCTGATTTTCATAAGTAGGAATGTAAAATGGCTTAAAGAAAGATATTTTTTTCTCCAATCTAAGAATGAGGAGGTAGATGAACCAGATAGGGAAACCAGAAGGAATTTATTTGCCATTGGTGTCTTTTTTCTTGGTGCCCAGAAAGCTTCCATCACCCTAATGAGTCACCCAAGAGAATTTCTATGAGGAAGCCAAAGAATTTACATGATGTATTAAAGAGGGTCTTCTCTTCGACCAACTAATCCTCCTAGTGTATCAGCATGAATTTACTTGCTACCTGGGGACATGATGGTCAAATATTGGTTAGACCATGATAATTTTCTCCCTATGGACTTGTGTATTTTAATTACCAACCAAGGCATTGAAGCCATAGCTAACATGAAAAAGAAAGGCCATTGGTAATGCTTATGGAGGCAATAGCTAAACTGTCCATGAAGAAATTGTACAGATGATACTGTTCTGTGGAATAATGCAGAGAATTTTCTTATGCTTATCCATATGGAAGGAGAACCCTACAGAATTATAACAGGTAAAATGATTTGGGCGCACTTCATCTGGAAAACTTCACAGATATTTCTAGGAAGTGTTTGAGAGTGAGGACAATTGCATGCCACTGAGCACCAGAATACTGGTTTGAAGGATTAAACCAGAATACTGGTTTAATTAATTAATTATCTTTAATTTCCTATTGAAGAGTGACAGTCTAGTCTTTTATGTGTATGGTAAATTTCAAACCTATTGAGTTTTCTTTCAGGAACTACAAACTTTTTTGGATACAAACTTACCTTTTACTAAGGGGATGATCTTATAAGATAGAAAATTCTGTAAACTAGAAAGAGAGGAGACCAGGAAAGTAGAAAGGTGAAGTGATGATGTCTTAGGAGCTTTTGTTCTGGTCAAACAGAACACAGAGTATTCCTTAATTATAAAGTTTAGAAATGAAACAACTGAAAAGAAATGAGTCAAAGTTCTTGATGCTAGTCCCTTTTAGAAAATTTGTTAGACTTCTGTCTAGGCAATAAACTTTTGTTATTTTCAATTTAGTTATTTGAGAGGGATTTCAAGCCCTCTGAAACTGGTTTTTATATTAAAATAAAAAAGATTAACTAGTGAGATAATGGGGAGATTACCTGATGATTAGAAGTAAAAATGAGATCAAAGTAATATTTAATGGATTTTTGCCATAAAGGCAAAATAATATAAAAATTTGCCATAATATAAAATTTAGGGATTAATGTCATAGAGATTCTTCAACCTAAATAGTTGATGTAGATGGTTAATACTATGTCTTAGCTTAATGCCAAAGGAACAATTTTGGAAAATCCCTGGAATCAAATGTCATCTACCTATGAGGTTTGAAATAATTTAAAGGGCATAATGGAATCATTCTACATTTATTTATTTTCAGTAAGTTATTTTTGGGTACGTACTGGACACTCTTGGTTATGGTGGAGATGGCAGTTTTCTTCTCTGGCAGGCTATAATTGGGGCATTCAAAGACAAACTTAAAATATTAGTGGCAAAGCAAGCAAGATTTTAGTAATTGCTAAAGTAACACAGAAGGAGAAGTGATATAGCATGATTTGGAACTTGTGGGATGGAATCAATGAGTATGTGATATTTTAACTGGAAACTGAAAGAAGACTACATGATTTAAATATATGTATATAAACAACAAAAAACACAAACTAAAAGCATAGAATATTTCCAGATTTAGAAGGTAATATGAAAAATGACTTAGTTTTTCAAAATTGCTCAATGCTAATGGGAGCTCTGGTAGCATAGTGCCTAAGTCACTTGACTGCTAACCAGAAGGCTTGTGGTTCAAACCCACCAGTCACTCCTCAGAAGGAAGATGGGACAATCTACTTCCGTAGTGATACTGCCTCGGAAACCCAAGGAGGGGTCACTATGAGTTGCATCTGACTCAAGGGCACATAACAACAACAGTGTGTATGTGGAGAAATACATACTGGCAATTGTGAGTGGAAAAATAATTTTGGAAAAAATGTGAAAGACCTGGATTAAAACAAGTTTTTACTTTATTTTATAGATAATTGAGGGTCATTGCATTTTGCTAATACAATCTGACTTATCCTATAGAAAAACAACTCTGTTGCAACTGTGGAAATTGGCTTAGAATAGGAAGATATATAATCTAGGGAGTCTAGTTATAAGGCTCTTCTATAGACTGGGTAACAGTTCATTTCCTGTAGAAAGGAATATACAGATCCTAAAGAAATGCAGAACAAAACTAGATTGGATAAGGATGAAAGAAATGGCCAGCTTAAAGAACTCTCTAGAATTTGTCACTTAGATGACTAAGAGAATTTTGAAACTTTATTGAGATACATAATCCAGGTGAAGTAATAGATTTGGACAGGGGGTGGGGGATGGTAAGAATGATGAAATATCTAAAATAGGCAAATGCGTAGAGATTAGAGTTTAATAGGGATTACCGGGGCAGGAGAGATGGTGAAAGGGAAGAATCATTGTTTAGGTAGCACTGAGCTTTTATTTGTAGGCAGTGGAGAACTTGACAATGGATAATTGATATTGATTGCACAACATTATTGATGTAATAGATTTTATTGAATTGTACATGTGAAAAATGTCAAATTGCTGAACATGTTCTCTATATTTTTACAATTTACTATAACTGTATATATGACATAATATAATTGCATTTTTACATCAATATACAAATAATCTAGTTCTAGCAATAGAAACTGTACCATAAGCCTTAGGGAAAGTATCTGAGCCTCCATACTGAGGAATTCAGAGATAGTTACTAGGAAATGAAAGTTTGTAGAGTCATTAAGTCAGGTATATCAAGTGGTGGACATATATCCAAATGGGCAACCAGTAAATACTGAAATAAAACTAAATTATTCCAGCCATGTGTTTATATGGGAGCTCTGGTGGTGTAGAGCCTAAGGCATTTGACTGCTAACCAGAAGGCTGGTGGTTCAAACACACCAGCCACTCCTCGGAAGGAAGACTGGGCAATCTACTTCCATAGAGATACTGCCTCGGAAACCCAAGGGGTGGGGGTTGCTATGAGTCAGAAATGATTCCATGGCAGTGAGTTTTTTGTGTGTTTATATAAGGAGAAACCAGACCTTACACCTTACAAGAGTTTGTAAAAGGCAGTCTAAGGCAGTAGAGATATTTCCAAATCAAATTAATTTCAATGAATAGCTGAACTGAAATGGGTTGTATGATTAGTCATGAAAGGGAACTATATTATTTAAAGACAAGCCACAAAGAAACATGACTAAATGTTTTCCTACATGGGAAATATATTGAAAGGAGGTGGGGGTGGGTCTTTAGACATCAATGTTATTGCTTATTGGATGTACCTATCCCTAATCTGGATAAAAAAAAGGGCAACTAAAATAATAATTAATATACATGAAACATCTTTTGGGGACTTGATTACCAAAAAATTCAGTGGAGATTAGGTAATTCTGTAAAGGAGTGAGGGAAACAAGGATAGGATATATGTGAGCAAGTGTCTGTACACTTCATGTGAACTTTTTCACCCAAATCCACAGCTAATATCATTGGCCAAAAAATAGCACTTTGGGTGCACATGAGTTTACAATAATTTCTTGTAAATACACAATCTTTTCTCTCTCTCTCTCTCTCTCTCTCTCTCTCTCCCATGCCTGTTGTTTCTCATTTATACCAGAATGGCAGTAGGCTTTTGTTTTATTTTTTTTTTTTTATTAAAGGATAATTCTTTCTTATTTCTGTATTCCAAAGTTCTCTGGACCTGATTGTATTGTCTTTATTCCATGGGATCAACTCTCCATGGCCAATTCCTCCTTTGTCACTGAGTTCCTATTGCTAGGTTTCTCCAGCCTTGGGGAACTGCAACTTGTCCTCTTCGTGGTCTTTTTCTCCCTCTATTTGATCATCCTGAGTGGAAACATCACAATCATCTCAGTCATCCTCCTGGATCGCAGCCTGCACACACCCATGTACTTTTTTCTGTGCATTCTCTCTATTTCTGAGACCCTCTACACCATTGTTATTCTACCCAAGATGCTTATCAACTTACTCTCTGTGCTCAGGACACTCTCCTTCCTGAGCTGTGCCACCCAGATGTTCTTCTTCCTTGGGTTTGCTGTCACCAATTGCCTTCTTCTGGGAGTGATGGGCTATGATCGCTATGCTGCCATCTGCCAGCCTTTGCACTACCCCATTCTCATGAGATGGAGGGTGTGTGGACAACTGGCAGTAACTTGTATTGTTAGTGGCTTCCTGATATCTCTGGTGGGGACAACTTTGGTTTTTAGCCTTCCTTTCTGTGGCTCCAACAAGGTCAACCACTACTTTTGTGATATTTCTCCTGTCATCCGTCTTGCCTGTGCTGATAGCCCCATCAATGAACTGATCATTTTTATCTGTGGGGCCTTGGTGCTTGTTGTACCCTTCATCTTCATTTGTGTTTCCTATGGTTTCATTGTTCACACCATCCTGAGGATTCCATCAGCTGAAGGCAAGCGGAAAGCTTTCTCCACATGCGCCTCTCATCTCACTGTGGTTATTGTCCACTATGGTTGTGCTTCCTCTGTCTACCTGCGACCCTCAGCCAAATACACATCAGGCAAGGACAGGCTGGTGACAGTGACCTATACCATCATCACCCCACTACTGAACCCCATGGTATATAGCCTCAGGAACAAAGATGTCCAGATGGCTATTTGGAAAATGATTGGAAAGACTGGGTTGTCTCTAAAGACATTATAATTAGAACACTTTTCAATTTTACTAGCACATATGAGACAATAAAAATATATATCCATAATTATTTAAAAATGGGAGTAACTATTTTATTTATGTCTATAACTGTGCAGTTTTGGGTGAGTTGTTTTGGTATTCTGGGGCTTTACTGTTTTCTTCTGTAAAGAAGGGATAATACTAGACTCTTATCTTGGTTGTTGTAAAGATTTAGAGAGACAATAACATTTCTGGAAATAAAAGATATCCATCCTCCTCCTCTGTCTCTTCTTTGTCTAGATTTATAGTTCTCAAAAACGTCTTTAAAATCATCATAATAATTTCTTGCCCTGTATTTGGATTGTTTATCTACAAACTCCTCTAATCATGCTCTTTGCTTAAAGTTATGCCCAGCCAAAAATGAGTAGCCCAAATCTGGGTGGCTTAGATCTAACAGTATGACATGATGGAGAAGAAAGTCATTGTGTATAATTAAAAGAGGAGTTCTGGTAGCATAGTGCCTAAGGCACTTGACTGCTAACCAGAAGGCTGGTGGTTCAAACCCACAAGTCACTCCTTGGAAGGAAGATGGGGCAATCTACTTCCGTAGTGATACTGCCTTGGAAACCAAAGGAGGGGTCGCTATGAGTCAGGTCTGACTTGAAGGCACATAACAACAACAACAACAAATAATTAAAAGGTTTAATTTGACACTGGGTAGGTCATAACTTTAAGAATGCTATTTATTTCTTCTGAACCTAATCTTTCATATTTAAATGGGAAGAATATAATTTTTCTTTCCTAATTCACAGGATTTTTGTATCAAATGGGTACATTTGATCAAATGTATACTATGAAAGAAAGATGTATGATATATGAAATGGATAATGTGATAATATGAAAGAAAGCATATGTAATATATGAAACCATACATAATGCATCACTATTATTGTATTAATTGAGAATTTTCAAGTCTCTGCAAGTTCCTTAATTTCTTTCAGATTCTCCAGGCATGGCATTTCTAGATGCCATTTCTGATCATTCGTGGGAATCAATCTTCATGTTACAAAGAAAGTAAACTACATGAGAGAATGGAAGAAGAATAATCAACCATCCTGTCTACCTCAAGCTTCAGAATATGTCTACATGGCCTTCTACACTGAATTCATTAAGTAGAGGGAGATACATAATTTCAAACTTATTATCAAACTACATAATATGACACAAGGAAGGACATAAGTCATAAATAGTCATCTAGTGGTATCTCCAACATGCACATCATTTCCTTCATTAATATCTCTGAGGGAAACCAGCCTGAGGGAACCAGCCTCCACCAAATGGATATTGATGACTTTACAAAATGTACATTCCTTTTGTACTCAGCTCTCATTACTATTTCTCCTCATTTTAGCTGATATTTGCCTCTCTGTAATTTTCATGCATTCTAGCTCTTCTGTCCCACAGAAGTCTGATGTGGCATCACAAATAGTTGAGACAGTTATGATGACAAGTTGAACCTTCTCTTTCCATTACTCAGGTGACTTGACTTTTAGAACATCTCATCTTTCTGGGTGCAGTCCTCTAGATATGCAGTAGCTTATGAATATTATTTTTAAATCAAAATGCATAAAATTAAAGCTTATATTTAATGAAGACCTCTGGTAGTGTAGTACCTAAGGCACTTGACTGCTAACCAGAAGCCTGGCGGTTCAAACCCACCAGCTACTTCTCAGAAGGAAGGTTGGGCAATCTACTTCCATAGTGATACCACCTCAGAAACCCAAGGAGGGATCACTATGAGTCAGATCTGATTCAACAGCACATCACAACAACAACAACAACATATTTAATGAGTGACTTCCTTTTCCAAAGAAAATTATATCTGTACCCGCCCTTGCTAATTTTATTTACATGTTTTATTAAAGCATATAAAATCATAATAATGTTGTTTTATATTGTCAAATCACTACTTCTCTTCCTGCTTTTGTTTTCCATTTATTACTATTGCAATGAAGTTTTGTTTTATTTTCCTTTTTGCTAGTTAAATTATGAAGGCATTTAATGTGGGCACTAAATATCTCTATAAGCATAGCATGGGCCAACATGTGAGCATGTCTTCCAGGTTCTCACAGGTAGTGTTTTCTGGAAACCAACCCTGTGCTATAGTTTGGCATGCAGGAAACTCATTAATAAATGTTATGGGATTAATTCCTGTGGAAGAAAGGGAAAGAAAGCAGAATGTCGTTGTTGTTATGTGCTGTCAAGTCAGACCCAACTCACAGCGACCCTTCCTTGGGTTTCTGAGGCAATATCACTAAGGAAGTAGATTGCCCTGTCTTCCTTCCGAGGAGTGGCTGGTGGGTTTGAAACAGCCTTCTGGTTAGTAGTCAAGTGCTTTAAGCACTACGTTACCAGAGCTCCCAGAAAGCAGAATATGGCAGAGAAAGCAGAATTGGGCAGAGAAAAATCTAGCTGAATGCAGTCCTAGTCACAGCTTCAAGAGACCTAAGCAGTTAAGTCTACAGTTAGATTGATCATTCAGAGCTGTTGTAGGCTGGACCAAGATGGCCAGGAATTTTACACCCTTGTATCAATTCATATTTGGATGTGGGCTTCCCCACGAAGGGTTGGTGTCTATGTGGCTGGGAAAATTCCTTAAGGGCTAACCACTAAAGCCTGACTATTGACAGCATTCCCAGCAGCTGGGCAACAAACAAGTCCTTTAGTTGACACAGTGCTTATGCAGTGCGTCTTGGTTTTCACCACACAAGCACACTGGTCATGTAGGGATGATGCTCTGCTGATTTTTTTTTTTTTTTTTCTCTTGAAATAACTTTGTATGGTATATGACCATGATCCTTTTCTGGGTTCTTATTTATTGAGATTGGTTTTCTTGGACATTTAGGAGGATGGTCTGATACTATTCCTTGTTCTGTGGCTGGAGAGCGCCCTCTTGTTGTTATCAAAAGTATTCAACTGTTAATTGGAGACTGTAAAGCCTTTTTCTTGTTTTGGCTCATGGTCTCTAATTGGTCAATCACCTTTTGAGTTGTTATCATTGGTCATTTGTTGTTATTGTTTTTGCTGCTGTTCTCTCAATATTAGAATTACCAGGAGTTGTTCCTTGCCTCTGCTTTCTCTTTCACAATGTCTAATGCTATATATTGAGTTTCTTAGGAATTTTGTGTGGCTTAGATTTTTTAGAATTTATAACTACTTAACTGAATTGTATCCCCACTTCTCTTCTTCTAATCATGGGGATTTTAATTTCACCATTACATTCACTTGTTCTTTATTTGTCAACTAAGGAATAATTTGCACACAATATAACTCAAGTACTTTAAGTGTCAGTTATTTGAGTTTGACAAATACATTCATCCACTTAACCACCACACCAGTCAAGAGAGACAATAATTCCATCACCCCCAAAATTTTCTCATGCTACTTTTCAGGTTACTTAGCCCTACTTTGAGATAATATATGCCTTCCTTGAATTTGATATATATGGGCTAACATAGTATGTACTGTACGTCTTAAGGACCTCTGGTAGTACAGTTGTTAAGGAATTTGGCTGCTAACATAAAGGCTGGTGGTTTGAACCTACCAGTCACTCCACCGAAGGAAGATGAGGCAATTTACTTCTGTAAAGATTTACAGCCTTGGAAACTCAGTGGAGGTCTCTATGAGTCAGTGGCAGTGAGTTTGTGTGTGTGTGTGTGTGTGTATGTCTTAATTCATACATATAGCATAATGTTGGCATGTATCAGCAGTTTTTTTTCTTTTTAGTGCAGTGTAAGACTCTCCTGTATGAATATGTCAAATGTGTTTATTCATTTACCTAATGATTGCCTTTTGGTTTATTCTCATTATTGTTTATTATTAACAAACCTACTAAGAGCTTAGGAGCTCTGGTAACGTAGTGCCTAAGGCACTTGACTGCTAATCAGAAGACTGGCAGTTCAAACCCACCAGCCACTCCTCGGAAGGAAGATGAGGCAATCTACTTCCATAGTGATACTGCCTCAGAAACCCAAGGGGGGGGGTCTCTATGAGTCGGGTCCACTCAACAGCACATAACAACAACAACAACAACAACAACAACAACAACAACACTAAGAGCTTATTTTGTATGTGTTGTCGTTTTTATTAGGTGCCATTAACTCAGCTCTGACTCAGAGCAACTCTATGTACAACAGAACAAAACACTGCCCAGTCATCCAGCATCCTCACAATCTTTGCTGTGATTGAGCCCATCATTGCAGCCACTGTGTCAATCCATCTAGTTGAGGGTGTCTAACTTTTTCATTGACCCCCTACTTTGCCAGCATGACAGCCTTCTCCATGGACTGATCCCCTCTGACAAGATGACCAAGTATGTGAGATGAAATCTGGTCTTTTTTGCTTCTAAGGAACATTCAGGCTGCACTTCCTCCGGGATAGATTTGTTCGTTCTTCTGGAAGTCTACTGTATTTTCAGAACTCTTTGCAAATATCACAATTCAAATACATCAATTCTTCTTCTGTCTTCCTTAGTTGTTGTCCAGGTTTCACATGCATATTAAAAAAAAAAAAAAATTAGGTGATTGAAAATACCATGACTTAGGTCAGGTGCACTTTAGTCTTCAAAGGGTTATTTTTGCTCTTTGAACTCCTTACAGAGGTCTTTTGCAACAGATTTGCCCAGAGCATTACATCCTCTCATTTCTTGACTGCTGCTTCCAATGACGTCATTATAGTAAGGGGAGCAGTAGTATCTCATTTGGTTTTATTTTGTGCTATCCTGATATTTAATTTTGTTAAGTATTTTTTTTCACACACATATTGACCATTCATGTAACTTTTTAGTAAAGTCTCCTAGTTTCTGTCCAATTTAATAAGTCTGCATGTCTTTTAATTATTAAAGTATGGCAGTTTTTTTAATATATACTAGATCAAAGTTGTTTGCAAGCCACATGTATTATGAATATTCTCCCTAAGTTCGTGACTTGTATTTCTAATTTTTCTGTAGCATATATCTTGTGTTTTGTCTA